ACCACCGACATCACCACCACCGACATCACCACCACCACCACCACCACCAGCATCGACATCACAACCATCACAATCACCACCAGCATCGCCATCACCTCCACTACCATCGGTGCGCTATCAATGTCACCATCGATAATCCACAATCACTATTTATCTCCATTGTAAAAATGATGCGTAAAGAAGCAAAGAGGAAAGAGAAAGAGAAAATAAAAAAAGTAAAGGGAAAAGAGAAAATGAAGAAGCAACGAGTTATGTAAGTAGGAAAGTCTTTCGATAGTGAACAGATACTTCGAAAAGTTGTTAGAAGTGGCGACTTAATTTTGATATTATTAAGGTCCATCCAGTACAATTTCTCATAAAAAATAGAATAATACATTAGAGATAAAGTAATTCTACTTTATAATTATTTTATTTTGAGATGTAAAATAGAATTATATATTGGAGATGCTTTAACAAAATTTACTTTTCATTTAAAAAATATAATTTCATTATAAATTTGAAACTTTTTACAAATACATTGCAATGATAGCGAAAGGAATAACATAACACCATCATCCAAACCATTAAAATTACATCAATGATATAGCCTAGTTTTAATTTAAACTAAAACGGAGCGACATATCAAATAAATAATGATACAGTTGAACTTCTATAAATTAATACTCGACAAATTAATAATTATTATAAATCAATAATTTTTGCTGGTCTCAAGTTAGGCCAGTGTAAAAATTGACAAAATTCGATAAGATAAAAAGATAATATTTTTTGGGCAATTTCTATAATTACACTGAAAACAAGTTTTCAGGACATATATAACAGGAAAACTAAAATGTTTCCACCCCTAACATTTTTTATTCGAATTTTTCGATTTTACCTTTTGAGAAAGTCTTCCTAAATGTTTTTTTTTCTGTTAATGTTTCGTATTTTTTTTTAGGAAAGTTTTCCAAATATTAGAATTTAACATCGTTTTATATGATTTAGGAAAGCTTTCCTAAATTTTTTAAAAAATTCTGATTTGTGGAAGGGCTTCCTGAATTGTGGAAGAATTTCCTGAATTGGGGGAATGCTTCCTAGAAGGGCTTCCTAAATTTGAGTTGTATAAATTAACAAATAAAAAATCAATTATACGATTTACAAAGACATTCCTAAATACATATTCGTAAAATTTTAGAATATCTTCCTAAATTTACTTTTATCTCCTTCCTCACATCTGCGACATCCAAACACTAATTTCCGCCAATTTCTTTTTTTTTTCCACCATTGTTGTTGTTTTACCTCGGCTTTCTTGACCTTTTCACCCAATTATATCAGGTCAATCTTCCACTATATGATTTTGAGCTTTAAATCCCGAAATCACTTTTCCATAAAAAAAACCAAAGATCTAAGAGATTCACAATTACAAATAAAAATCAACCGAGAAAAGCAATCCTTAACAAAACAAACGATTCAAATTTCAGATCAGTTTTGGCCATTGATAACTTTGTTTGTATACTATTTTTCTTTTCCTCTTATTAACTAATGTTTTGTTTAACTAAGATTAATATGGTCAAGTCTTCACTGAAAAATATTATGGAATGATTTTTTTGGAGTGTTAGTATATATTAGGAACAAAAACTTAGATTATGTGCATTTGAGGGAATTTCTGTACTTTTTTAAAAAAATCTATGTAAAAATATAGTTCCAATAATAATAAAATTAATAATTATACATTTATGCATATATTAATAATATAATATAGTAAACTATGATAATATTGTTATTTCAAGTTTATAAAATTTGTTTGATTTATCTTTTAAATTCATTATTATGACATTTTTTGAATGAATTTTATATTTTTGAAAATACTGATTTTGTTTTTTTGATGAATATTAAAAATTCAAGCTAAAAATATTTTTATAAATATTAATTTAATCGATAAATTAATTAATTAATAACTCTATAAATTAATAAAATTTGAGAGTTTCAATATTATTAATTTACTGTAATTGCTTTCCGATCGTATATGTTTTTCGTATAAAATAATACTAGGTGTCCCGCCTGCGCGTTTGCACAGGCATATAAAATTTTAAATAAATTTGATAAAAAAATAAAGTCTAATTTTTTTAATTATGAATTATTTTGATATATATGAAATTAGATAAAAAATTTAATGATGATTGTTAATTTGGTATATATAAAAATCATATAGATCTGCTTTGCATTAAAGTTGTAAAATGTTCATTTTTCATGTAAAACTAAGGTTATTAGTGAAACTAAGCCTTATGTTTCTTATTTGCATATCAAATTATCATCGGATACCAAAAAATACCTTCAGGCTGTTTTTTTCAGAAATATCCAGAGTTAAAAAGCTAAGTAAATGATTGGTCTCAATATGCTTATGGTCATTAGTAAAGTAAAACTCTTGTTTCTTTGTATTCATATTAAATATTCACTAAATACAAAAAAATTACCTCAAAGTTGAGATTTTTAAGAATCAAAAATAAAGTATTCATATTACATAGTCACCAAATACAAAGATTTTACCTCAAAATTGAGATTTTTAAGAATCAAAAGTAAACACCACTGTCTCTTAACTGCTTCTTCTCTTCTTCAATGTAGTTCTTCTCTCTACTCGCTTGACCCAAAACTCTTTTATTTTCCTCTATGTTAAAAAGAATGAATCTTTCTATCACTCACTTATGCATTCACATTCAACTCATGATTCTCACCATCTACAACGGCAACTCTTGTAGCTTCTCGTTCTCGATAACTCTCTTTCACTTCCACATGATCGTTGCTTATCTTATGACCTCCCCATGCAAAGGGACATCTGGAAAACCATATGCTTTGTAACTGCGTTGTTGCAAAGATTCATAGCCGAAAGCTCTTTAACTTTCTACTTGTCATTTTTCTTTCTCACATTATCCATAGTATCCGTGTTAGAATTAGATAATGATGACTCCTTGTATAAGTTATCATTATCATCATCACTCCATCGCATCGTACCTTTATTCATGGTAAGGAATGTTATAACTCTAACAAAGAAACGAATCTTCGTTAATCCAATTTATGAAATAGATGTTTTTTTAAAAAAACAATGATCTAATATACGTAGGAGAAGCTTATGATCCAAGTAATTTAATATCATAAAAAGTGTTCCATATACAGAACATAAATACACCCAAGCAATCGCTGGTTGCACATACATCAATATGTGTTCATTGTAAATATTGAATCTTTAATCAGATTGCTGCATAGCAATTGTCTCTGCAAATTCTTTGCATCACAACACCCCCAATGTCTCTTTGATATTTTTTCGACAACCTCTGCGTTAACCGATTTATTATTCACTAAATCAATTCCAAAAATCCATATCTGAGTCTCCGAATAATATCAAATAAAACATTTTTTCTTCCTTCCTCGACGAAGAAAGATAGCCTTCCTCTTTGCACCTTAAAAAAATCCAGAAGAATCCTCGCATTTTCAGAATTGAGTTTCAAATACCTTTTAAGACTCTTTGACCAAAACAAAACAAAGCAAATAAATTCAAAAACAAAAAAATGAATACCTAGATTTGGGATAATTTGTTTTCTTTCAGAAAACCAATCTATAGCTTAAGATTTTAGATATATCCTTACAAACATCACTATTAATGCCAATCTTAATTAACTGTCAGTTGATACACTTGTCATTGGTTTTAGTATCAATAAACATTACAGAAAAACTGTAAGAAAGTACAAAAAAACTCAACTCTTTAAAAGAAGCTCACCTTTAATTATAAAAGTATAGACGCTAATTCATACTCCAAGGTCACAAGCATTATTGGCAATTATCTGTTACCATCATTTTGACGTATAAAGAATAAAAAGTTTAAACTTCTAAAACTTAGATCTAATATCGTAGCAATCGATAGAGAACAATACACAGAATAATCAAATAAGACGAAAACCACTAAAGAAAATAAGATATCAGAAATATTTAAATCACCTTTTGAAACCATGTAGCAATTTATAGATCGTTCCAAACCTACATCTTATATCGAAGCATGTATTTTTAATGCCTACATTGATCAAAAAATAAAGTAAAAAATTAGATAAAATATTGACGACAACATATAAAACACATATAAAGATCAATTAACCATTTTTCTATAAACATAAGAATGTACCAGAATTATATCCACATGCTCTCAGACCATGATCGTTGAATCCTTACAAAGTATAGAAGAACAATCAGAACCTTAAAACAAACTAAGAATAATAGATAAATCGTTATCACAAACATATAAAAACATTCACTACCGATACATATTTTTGAGGGGAATTAAAAGCATATTTAGATGAACTCTAGGTAAAAAAACATATAATAAAAAATCTACAAAACCGTAATAAAAAAAAAGAAGCGATGAGAAATTGTGAATAAGAAGATGTCAAGATGTTTATATTAAAAAAAACTTAGGCATAACACACGGTTTTCACTATTATGTTTCTTTTTTTTCTTTATAGATAAATATTAAATCGAGTTTATCATATATCTATTAAATTTTCTACTTTTTAGATTTACTTTTTCTAGATTTTATAGGATATTTCCTTTTTTTCTATATATACGTCACATATTTATTATTTTCCAAAGTTTAAATACAAATATTTTTTAATTAAATTGATTTTTCATTAAAAGTATATTAAGTCAATTCATATGAGGGGTAAAAATTAATCAACCACGATAACTTTCAACCACATCCCAAATTATTTGCCAAATAATAATATGACTCCACCTGTATCTAAGTTTTATAACAAAATTAATTAGTTAATAACAAATTTCCTAAACAGACTGGAAACAGATAGTCTCTCTCTCCTCGGCTTTCTCTCTCTTTCTCTGACCGTCGAATTAGAGAGTCAGCTTTGGGGGATTTTTCTTCCTCGGTTGAATCTTTGACCATTCTTCCATTGTTGATCTCCTTCCTTTTCCATCGTCTCTGTCTCTGTTTCTGGATTTTCAATTCCCTTTCTTCGTCACTGTTTATGGGCGACGCGAAACCCGGGATCGTGATGGCCAACAGAGATCGGGAGCTTCTGATTCCAGTTGCTCATTCCGGTGAAGATGATGACGATTCTACACCCAAACCCTCGTCTTCGTCTTCTTCTTCTTCCCATCACACTGGTCACGAGGTTTTTAACTTTACCCCCCATTTAATCCCCTCGAGATATACGCCCTTAGGGTTTTATCGGTTGTAATGTTCGGAGCCTGCGATTTAGGGTTTCGATGGCGAAATTCCTAAAATTGTTGTCGAGTTTTTTTGGGATTCGTGCTGAATCGTCTCGTAATTTGACATTTGGGGTCGAGATTGTACTTTACTGTCACTTAGAACTCGAAAGTTAGCTAAGCTTGATCGGATCAAGATTTTAAGAAACAAAGATCTGTTTTCGTTTCAGCATTTTCTTTAAATGAGTATGAATTTCTGAGATTGTTGTGTTTAGTTTCCTTGAACTATAGTTGGGATGATTTAGTAATTACCAATGAACATGAGAATCTGTTTCTTTGTTTATCTTTGATCTCGTTTCTGACTAAGAATCTGTATTATCTTTAGACCTTTTACAAGTTGATCAGAAGCTGGGCGTCAAAGAAGTTCATGACTGGATGGTAAGAACGTCTTTCTTTCTTGCTTATTGTAAATGGAGGATTTAGTTTTACATTTCATCTCAAAGCTAGTCTCTGTATTGCTTGTTCTTATTTAACAACTTCCTAAACGTCCTGCAGTGTGATCTTGCTTCCAATGGCCATCACTTTCTATGTGACATGGTGGTTTATTCATTTCGTGGATGGATTCTTCTCACCAATATATGCTCAACTTGGAATTGATATATTTGGTGAGCTTCTCTAGTCTAGTAACTCAGTAACTCTATGTTATCTAGAAGATATTCTTTGGTGGAAATATCTATGAATATTAATGACAAATGTAGCAGACAACATTTGATGTCAGTCTTTTTGTGAAATTGCTTTACAGGACTTGGTTTCATCACATCCCTTACATTCATCTTCTTGGTTGGAGTGTTCATGTCATCATGGTTGGGTACATCGGTTCTGAATTTAGGAGAGTGGTTTATCAAGCGGATGCCATTTGTTCGCCACATCTACAATGCCTCCAAGCAAATCAGTACTGCCATATCACCAGGTATCGTTGAGTCTCTCTCTCTCTTTATCTCTGGTTTGATCGTTGTTGGTGGATGAGTATTGATTATATGACCTCTCACCATGATGTTGCAGATCAAAACACGCAGGCTTTCAAGGAAGTCGCCATTATAAGGCATCCACGTATTGGTGAATACGCAATTGGGTTCATCACATCGACTGTTGTTCTCCAGGTCAGTTACAAGAAAACTCTAACCCTCTTCCTGAGAAGGCAGGTTTGATAAGCAAAACCAAAATATGTTCCGAATCCTTGCAGACTTACGCAGATGAAGAGGAACTTTGCTGTGTGTATGTGCCTACAAATCACCTTTACATTGGAGATGTGTTCCTTGTAAGTACTAAAGATGTGATCAGACCAAATCTCTCAGTAAGAGAAGGCATAGGTGAGGAAGATTCCATTGATTTCATTATGAAAAATGTCTCTGAATATTTCGATGTTCTGATCTTTTGTGGGTGTGAAATATTTTATCTGCAGAGATCGTTGTGTCGGGAGGAATGTCGATGCCTCAAGTTCTGTCTACACTTGATATGAGAATGGCTCCAGAAAGAAGTAGAAGTAGTAGAGTTGAAAGAAACTGAAAAAATTAGTCCTTTGCAGAGGCAAACAGATTCTCAAATCTTTATTTCATGTCTTCTTCTTTTGGATTCAGTTAATTGCACATTTGATCTTCAAGCATTAGAAAGCAATGGTGTTTTAGAAGTGTTTGTTCTTGATACCAAGTCCATTTGTGCTAACACTGTTTGTGTCTATATCCTTGATTCTCCTACTCCATAGTAAGCTGTAAAAATATATTTATTTAGTCTTATCCCATTTTTAATTTCCTTTAAAAGCATCTCATGGATTTTCATAAACTACTAGATTAAGATCTGCTTATACTGTGCTTTTTGCTAATGATTTTACTATTTATTTAATATGTCATAAACTACTCTATTAAAATCTGTGTATATACGGATTTCTCGTAAGCTATTTAAACATTCATAAAAATAAAACAAAATTGAATTAGTTATAAAAATATTTTTTTCTTTTCTTATGTGTTTTCAATTAAAATTTATTATATATTTTTCAATTTTGAGGATTTTATATTTCTATATTAATTATGTTTATTGCTAATAATTTTATTATTTCTATATTTATTTAATTAACATTGACAATTTGATTATCATATTCTTGTTGAGATTATATTTATTTTCTTAATCATATTTGGTTTTTTAATTATATTTATATATTACATGTGGCAAATTTGTTTTATTAATTCACATATATTTTAATCATTTTAATTTAAATAATGTTATATGGATATATTGGTTTATATTCAATTGTTTTATAGTTTGTTAAAGGAAAACTGAATATAAAAAAAAAAAAATTACCTCATCTTTTTAAATATTAAAAATTAAGATTTGAGAATTCTTACATAAAACCATTTTATAATATAAACTGTTTGGAAATAAATTTCAAGATGTTTATAAGGTATATGATTGTCCGTATGTATGGAGTTGTGTCTCTTAGTTTCGTCATCTGGAGGATGAGCGATGTGCGGCTCCGGGATGGAAGTCTAGCAAGTCTTGTAGACACAGAGAAACAAATTTGACCAAAAGAGGAGTTTCCCTCCTGGAGATTCTCCGACGCTCAAGTCAATGATAGTCCTACCGGGAACAAATACTCGGGAAAGTAGGTTTTGAGGTGGTTATGAATTAAATATTCCGTCTGAGGATTGCGATATCCATCTAACGGGGTATCACTAAAAATTGACCGTGAGAAAAGGGGGATGTAAACTCTCTCTACACGGGTACAAAGGCAGGAGAGGGAGGTTAGGAAAATGCTTATTTTCGGAAGGTGTTTCCTCTGGAAAACAGTGAGCGTTCCCATTCAGTCTCATTGTAAGCACTGGGCGAGCTCCTGTGAAGCGGAGGTTGGAGGTCTTCCCCTCCTCCTCCGTTTGGAGCCTCTTGTTCTCTTTGGATTAGCCCTATGGCTCCTCTGAGTTCCAAGGGTCCAATCCCTTTTTCTTTGGCTTTAAGTCTTCTTTTATACCTGGTCTCTTTCGTTATGTCCCATCCGTGTGGTGTGCGCGGGAGCAGGCGGCTTAGTACAACACGCCTAACTTAGTAAAGATGCCATCTGCCTGGAAACAGTCTGTTAAAGGGTTATTGGCTATCCTAGTGAGTGAATGTCAATGCTTTGGCAGGACCCATTGGCTACATGTTGCCTTGGAATTTGATGCGGTAAAAGTGGTTCCAACAATAACACAGTTTATTTTATTTAATTTTAATACAAATTATTATATATTTTTAAATATTTAATTTTTTATTCCTAATTAAATCATAATTAAGTTTTGTTATTTGGTTAAATATACATTTACTTTTAAATTAATTTTAACAAATTTGTTTTCATACACTATTTTTATCTTAATTATAGTTATTTTTTTTTATTATATTTGATTATTTTCTCTTTTACATTTGTATATCATATTTATTCTCATGAGAAATAAATTACTTTATCATACAATTTTTGTAATCTAATTAAAAAATACAAAAAGATATTTATTTGTATTTATTGTTATTCATCCCTTAAACTAAGTTTTCCTTTTAATTTTTTTTTACCTTAGTGATTTTTATTTCTTTTTCTTTTAGTATTAGTAATCGATTATATAATTTCTTTAATCTAATTGGAAATATAAAAGATACATTTTTAATTAATTTTAAGATTTATGTTAATATTATTTCAAAATCAAATTGGTTAATGTTTTTTACATATGTCAAAATCTAAATCGAGATACTTGATTAACAATTTTAACATATCTAATTTTATATAATAAGAAATCTGTACTTATTAATTTAATATACTTTGAAATTAACTAAGATAACATTGTCTCTACCAAAAAAAAAACAAAAAACAAAGATAACATTGTTATTACACTTTGCCGTCTCCTAAAACTAATAGGACTATGACATTATGAAGAAAACTAAAGAGCAACTTCTAACATTTCCAAACGAAGTTTATTTATTCTCTGTTATAAATTATTTATTATATAAGATGTGATATAAGTACAATATATGTATATATAAAGTGAGAGGAAAGACACGTGAGGGAGAGAACAGGAGAGATGAAATAAAGAGAGAGGCGTGAGGGGTGAGAGTAAAAGAGAGACAATGTTTTTCTTATTCCTCGTACATATCTTACAATAAAGAAGGGGAAGACTATTTATAGCCATTACATAGCTTATTCACTAAGCCATTAATCAGTAATGACAGACTATGTTGATAAGTCATTAATCAATAATGACAAAATGATAGGATAATTACTTATTATTTTAACACTTTCTTTAATTATTTATCACTAATAATGTATTATGTACTGTCTCGTTAAAAATCTTATCATGGAGAAATCCGTTTGGGATAAAAACCATGATTAAAGAAAAAAGTGCAGTAACGCTCCTCCTCGAAATGATGGATATAATTTTTTTTTTTAAAGATCTCGTAAGTGACGCATTCCGATACTGTGAACATGTTTTCTGAATGTTGTAGTAGGAAACGCCTTTGTAAATAGATCTGCTGTGTTGTCGCATGAGCGAACATATTGAATATCCACTTTCTGATTTTTCTCGAACTTCTTTGTGTAAGAGAAAAACCTTGGAGGGATATGTTTCGTTCAATCACTTTTGTTATAACCTTCCTTAAGTTGAACGACACATGCAACATTATCTTCAAATACTTTTGTTGGCTCTTTCTTTGTTTCTATACCGCTTGCATCTTGTATATGATGAATGATTGATCCGAGCCACACGCATTCCCTACAAGCTTCATGTAATGCAATAGTTTCCGCATAATTTGAAGACGTTGCAACCAAAGTTTGCTTTTGGAAACGCCAAGAGATCGCAGTTCCTCCGATTGTAAAAACATATCCGGTTTGTGATCTAGCCTTATGCGGATCTGATAAATATCCTGCATCTGCAAAACCAACCATACCAAACTCGGAGTTTCTAGAATACAATAAATCAAATTCAATGGTACCTTGTAAATAACGGAATATATGTTTTATTCCGTTCCAATGTCGGCGTGTAGGAGATGAGCTGTATCTTGCGAGTAAGTTAGTGGCAAAAGCTATATCAGGTCTAGTACAATTAGCAAGATACATAAGCCCACCGATAGCGCTCATATAAGGTACCTCAAGACCTAATATTTCTTCGCTATCATCACATGACCGAAATGGATCTTTATCAACATCGAGCGATCTATTGACCATCGGAGTACTCAAAGGAGTCGCTTTATCCATACTAAAGTGTTTCAAGATCCTTTTCGTATATTTTGAATGATGTACAGATATACCATCTTGGAAATGTTCTATCTGGAGCCCAAGACAAAACTTTGTCTTTCCAAGATTTTTTATTTCGAACTCTTCTTTCATATGAGTTCTTGCATCATCAATCTCTTTTTGAATTCCGATTATATTCAGGTCATTAACATAAACAGCAATGATCACAAATCCTGATATGGATTTCTTAATAAATACACAAGGGCATATCGCATTGTTGACGTAACCTTTACTCAACAAATATTCACTTAAGCGATTATACCACATGCGTCCGGATTGTTTTAATCCGTAAAGTGATCGCTGTAACTTGATCGCACACATCTCTTTAGATGTTGATCTTAATGCTTCCGGCATTTTTAATCCCTCAGGGATTTTCATATATATATCATTCTCAAGTGATCCATATAGATATGCTGTCACAACATCCATCAGATACATATATAGATTCATGAATGCTGCTAGACTCATTAAGAATCTGAATGTTATTGCATCCATTACCGGGGAATATGTTTCCTCATAATCAATTCCCAGGTTTTGAGAAAACCCTGAGCCACAAGCCTCGCTTTATACCTTGTGACCTCATTGTTCTCATTTCTCTTTCTTACAAACACCCATTTGTATCCAACGGGCATTACATGCTATGGTGTTGTGACAATAGGTCCAAAAATTTTTCTTTTATTCAAGGAGAATAATTATGTTTCAATGGCCATTTTCCATTTTTCCCAATCATGTCTTTTCTGACATTCTAATATGGACATTGGATCTGGATCATCGCTTTCAAGCTCTTTAGACATCAATATCTTTTATTTTATCTCTGATCCACAATTCTCTATTTTGGGCGTAATTGATGGAAATCTCATATTTTTCTGTTTCACATTCGTCTCCAAGACGAATCTCTTTATCTGGTTCTTCTAGAACCTTCTCACAAATGTCTTCAGGACATTTTTCTTTATTTGGTTTTTCCGGAACCTTTTTACTTTGTTCTCCCATATTCTTTTTCTTTCGGGGAATTTTATCTTTAGAACCCATCGGTCTCCCCCTCTTCAACTGAACCCTAGGTTCATTTGATATGTTCCTATCAATGTGTCCTTCAGGAACACTAATTCTGGATGGAACATTTGCTGCAGGGATATATGATTTTGTCACCCTCTTGGTATCTGTGAACGCATCTGGTAACTGGTTTGCCATATTTTGCATATGTACAATTTTCTGAACTTCCATCTCACGTTGATTAGTAGGAGGATCAAGATAAGCCAAAGATTTTGTACACCAAGTGATATCTTTTGGTGATTCTCTCAATCCTCCCCCTAACGCGGGGAATTCATCTTCATTAAAATGGCAATCGGCCAAACGTGTCGTAAACATATCACCAGTTACTGGTTCAAGATACATGATTATACTTGGTGACGTATAACCGATGTATATTACCAACCTTCTTTGTGGTCCTATTTTTGTTCTTTGGG